TGACCACAATGTACCCAACATCTGATGGCTACTTTCAGCAGGATAATGCGCCATGTCATAAAGCTGGAATCATCTCAGACTGGTTTCTTGAACATGACAATGAGTTCACTGTACTCAAATGGCCTCCACAGTCACCAGATCTCAATCCAATAGAGCATCTTTGGGATGTGGTGGAACGGGAGATTCGCATCATGGATGTGCAGCCGACAAATCTGCGGCAACTGTGTGATGCCATCATGTCAATATGGACCAAAATCTCTGAGGAATGCTTCCAGCACCTTGTTGAATCTATGCCACGAAGAATTGAGGCAGTTCTGAAGGCAAAAGGAGGTCCAACCCGTTACTAGCGTGGTGTACCTAATAAAGTGGCCGGTGAGTGTATATATATACTGTATATTTAGGATTGTGTCACCATCAGAAGAATTTTCATCATCTAACCTTTAAAAATGCTACACGAGAATATAAATTCACTTTTGAAAGCACCGGTGCCAGAAAAAGTTCATATTTGCTCTGTTTCATTTGATGTTTTTGTAGTCATTTAAAATATTAAAAAAACAAGTGATTGTAGTTTCAGTCATGCCACTTGAGGAACAAAACACTGATACACTGCAAAAATTGTCCATCTTACCAAGTTTTAAAATCTTACATCAGCCAAAAAGTCTTTTTGATCTTGTTTTGAGACTGATTTACCAAACAAGAACTGATTGTGTAAGAATAATAATCTTGTTTTCAGAATGTGTTAGATTATTTGTCTTGTTAGTCTGAAATCAGTCCCAAAACAAGACCAAAAAGACTTTTTGGTTGGATATAAGATTTTAAAACTTGGTAAGATGGACAGTTTTTGCAGTGTAGTTCAAAAAGGTATCGAAGGCTCAAACAAACTTGGTGCCTCGTTTCAACGGTTCAGACCTGATTACTTGTACTATAAACTAGCAGAAGGAAGCAAGGTTTTGGCTACAGGAAAAAGCAAGAGGGAGGTTGTGGTTGTCAGTGGTGGTTTCCTCATCCATCTGCCACACAACCACAACCATGCCAAGACACGCCGACAATAACACGCACGCACACTCGGATAAAACCACTCACCTCCTTTTCTCTTCCGTTCTCTCCTCACTTAGTGTATCTTATTCTTGTAGTTGCTATTGGTTACCCCACATTTCTAATCTTAATGTCAGTTACCTACTGCTTGTGTATGTCTTTGTGGAGAACATCTGGATTGAAGCTCAGGCCCAGAATCTTTGCCCCTGCTGCCCACTTCTCCTGCGCAAAGAGGACAGGAAATTTTTAAATGTGGATTTTGCTCAGGCTGTTTTGACTAATCTTGTTTGTTTTCAGGGCTGGTGGGTGACCTTATAATTTGTTAAGGAGAGCAGTTGTTTTCAGCGGCTTGTCTCTTCATCACCAACCGGTCCTGTCATCCTGCTCAGCTGTAATTTCCTCCCTTCCCAGCATCGCCACATAATTTATCTGCTCGTTCTGCGCGTGAGAGAATGGGAGGGAGGGGGTGTGTAGATGGGTAGCAAGATAAAGATGACAGGGCGGGGTGCGAGGGAGGTAAGATGATGGTAGCGGTGTGTGATGAGGTGGGAAATGCAGTGGGGGCAGAGGGGCGGAAGGGGAGTCTGGTACCCATGGATACGACCCCGATATAATTTGATTTGTGGCAGCAGGAAGCAATGAGTGAGCTAACACGAAAGGAGGGGTGGGGGTGGTGGGGGGGTAGAGGATGCGAAAAATACTGACGGAGGAGAGAGGAAGAGAAAACGAGGGCGAGGAAATAAGAGGAGCAAAAGAGCCGAGTGATGAGGAGCGAGGCTCAAACATGTCAGGTGCCGGAGCAGAAAAGGAGCACGAGATGGAGCGATCACAGGAGGGAGAGATGGAAGGTCTCAGATGACTTCTTCCCTTTCTGTCATCCTCAATGTCTTTATCTTATCTCTACCCACCCCCCACCCCCCCCAATCTTTTATCCTCTTTCTTTCCTCATTCAATTAATTTCAATTACAGTTTCAATTCAAAGCTGTACTTCCAGGAGAGAAGCCTGCAGCCTGCGTCTCTGCAGGGAAACAGATACAATCATCATTAGTGCATGTATTTGTTGACATTATTCTGACTCTAGAGTGTAATAACATTCATAGAAAAAAAAATCTAAAATTGCCTATGAACTTTATATTACTATAATAAGCTTTGGAAGGGAGCTATTTTGTTAAAAAAATCACAATGTACCTTGATGAAACACAAAAACAAGTTTAGATTTGTTTTATTTGCTCAACAGTTTAACAAAGGAACTAATTAATCAGAATGTGATTTATTTACTGTTAATATATATTTAAATCATTTAATTAACATGAGGTGACTTTGAAAACTTGATGCATTATTGATCTTTTTTTGACAAGTTTATTGTCTTGGCTTTGGCTGATGTACGAAAAGACTAATTTCAAAATTTTGTGCAGACTTGAGATTCTGTGCATTTTCAGTCATTAAATGTTTTTATTCTTGTCTTATCAAACGTCTTCCACATACCGTACGTAGGTGCCTCAGATATTTATTTAAACCAAAACAAAACCTTAACAGAAAAGTCAAACCACAATCTCAGACTAATGTGTTTTGAAAGTAGACATATCCTGCTTTTAAATACTTCTTTTTCACATTTAAATGGTTCAGTTGTCTTTATAAAGTGGAACTGCAATGCTGTGGTCTGATTTTCTTCTTTTAACTTTTACCAGCCCCTCTTTTCCCTGTTTTCTGATGTGTGGCTCAAGCATTTGTTAACTGTGCCTTCAAGATTGTTCAAGCCCCCCCGCTTCCAGACCGGTCCACTCTGGTTTGAGAGAGGGGGTTAGTACTTTCAAGCTTGCAGAAATGTTTTATTTACAATTTAATTAAAAGATGTCAACAACAGAAGACTTGTCCATCCAGCCTCACATGTTGGAGCCAGAGTCTGACCCAGAACCAGAGTCTGACCCAGAACCAGAGGAGAATTAAGATGAGGAAATTGTAGTTGGTTAGTCCAGACCTTATATGGTAATTCCGTTGCAGATTATTTGACATAAGAGCTCGGAAAATGTCATAGTAAATGGAGAAAACTCTATGGGTTGAAAAACTATGACCCAAACACAACATAAAGAAATCTTTGCAGCACCAGGACAGACTAAATTAAACTTTTCTGCCTCCTAGAGACTCTTAAGTCCACAACAATATGTATTTAACAGCTACAAAAGTGGATTTTGCATGATTCTGTCCCCTTGAAAGAAACTTTTCGAAAATGGAAGATTTTAAGTTAAATGGTGTTTGGATCAGAGTATAATAGTTTTAAATAAAGTTCAGCATCTAACCAGCTGCTTTTCAGATCACGACCTGAAACTGTTACGCCACAGTAGTTTTTTTTGTTGTTGTTTTTCTTTTTTGTTTTTTTATGTCTGTTGGAACATATGATGTCATGTGTGGGTGTGGCCTGAAAATGCCATGCGTTTGAAACTTTTCTGCCGTTCTTACGGCCATCTGCGTACAGATTTACTTTAATTTCAGTTTCTCCCATATCACGCGGCAGAAATTGTATCGCTACGTCAAACCTCCTCGTCTGCTCCCTCTGCTAATCTTTTCCTCCGTGTGTGTTTGTTTTTGTGCACTCGCGTGTGTGTGTTTAAGCTAAACAAAGCCAAATCTCCCTGGATTGTAAATACCAGTTGGTTAAAGCAAAGAAGCACTTCTAAAGCCAATCGGCAGACAACGAGGGACTCTGTGCTTCAGCAACACTTCCTGCTCTGTTCTGCATGTTCACAACTGAAAGGGCTCGCACAAGTGTGTGTGTGTGTGTGTGTGCGCGCTCGTGTGTGCGCGCTCGTGTGTGCTTGGAAGAAAGGAATAATGTGTGACAGAAGGAGAGTGTGGAAAAGAAGGCACGAGAGCATGTGTGACATAGAAAGAGAGCATGGAAAAGAGCATAAGAGAGTGTGAAAATGACAGGGAGGGTGAATGTGACAGGGTGGGGGCCAGCGGGGTGGAGGGAAGTGAAAGCCGCTGTGTACATAAGTAAAAACTGATTACTTGAGAGAGCTTGTTTAAATACCCTCTCTTTTTCTCTTAATTACAACGTCTCTATTTGGTTTGTCTGCAATATCGCGAGGATGCATGATGAGAAAACCCTGATTGGCGCCTTCAAACGCAAAACGTTCCCGTTTCTGTTGGATGAGCTGGTTTGACTCAGCTGATGAGGATCAGCCTCGGGGGAGTAGCGCAGCATTTTGGGAAACATGCTTGTGGACTTCTCTGCCAAAAACCTAAAGTCACAGGGAGGTCAGACGACTAAAAGCTGCTACTTGTCACTTTTACTCGTTGGTTTATGTCCAAATTAAGCAGAAAACTAAGAACATGACTAATAATGAAAATGTAGGTGTTTTGAACAGATGCTACTTGTTGTATTTGGCTTAATGTCTAAAAAGTTCTCATTCCTGTTTGTGTAAGAGGACATGACTTCTCGAAATTCATTAAAATGTACTTTTTAGTCTTGTTTTTTTTTTCAAAAACACCAACATTCTTTCAAAATAACCAGGTTCCTTGCATGCTTTATGCTTGCAGAGGTTTGTAACAATTTCTACAGTAATTTGACATTTTTAGGCATGTCTAGAATGTCTAAATTATCATGTAAAACATCTGTGTCCCCACATACTGCATTTAAAAAAATCTGACTCTATATTGAACGGAGACTCTAAACTGAAAGTTAATGGTAAGATTTTAAAACGTTTTAGTACAAATAAGCAAGATGCGATAAAGCTGAGCATTTGTCTGTTCATAGCCGCATAACGATGAATTTGACTGAATTTGGGCAATTCATCATTTGTACTCGACTGATGGGCCTTTCAGGGAAAACCTAAAGGAACTAAAATGCCAGCAGGCTGTTTTGATATACTGTATATTTCAGTTTTGCTGCAGTTCTATTTTATTTTATAAAAATGATTTTGTTTTTCTCTTTTATTTCCATTTTCTTTTTCTCCCTCCACCAGGTGACCTTCACCAAGCGGAAGTTCGGTTTGATGAAGAAGGCGTACGAGCTGAGTGTCCTGTGCGACTGCGAGATCGCTCTCATCATCTTCAACCACTCTAACAAGCTGTTTCAGTACGCCAGTACTGACATGGACAAGGTCCTGCTGAAGTACACAGAGTACAACGAGCCCCACGAAAGCCGGACTAATGCAGACATCATTGAGGTAAAGCTTTGGAGCTGAGAGGGAAGGGTAGTGGGCATAATGTTAGGAAAGAATAGTTTTTTTTCTTGAAGTTGTTTTGGTATTTTTATTTTTTTAGATTATGTCATTGCCTTTAATAAGAGCACTTTAAATTCCAGCTTTGCTTGTTTTTCCTGAACGAACCGAGCCCATATAATGTTACATTACCATGTGATCCGCAGTGTTCTCAAACATACAAATATGTGGAGTATGCACATGGTTCCTGCAGGGTAAAGAGCTCTTGTGCTTCGCTGACTTGTCCTGTTGATTTGCTGCTAACTGTTTCTTCAGATTGTTGTTAAATCCCCTGATGGCAAGTCACACACAAAACACGTCATCCAAACGTGACAGCTATGTCTCATCATGCCTGTTCGGTTTAACTCCAGTGCCTTCTTTCCTTGTTCATGTAAATTTCAGATAAAACGAGACTGAAACACAATTACAGGTTGTGTAAATTGGGCTGGAATTAATGCTCTTTGAACACATTCATGTATCAATGAATCGGCTTGTTTGTGTAAGAACGCTGGGGGATTGTTCCTGAATCTTAGGGGAACTTGGTTCTGTGTTTGATCTCCAGTTTAATCTTAATCTGGTCCTCTCCAGACTGACGTTCAGACATAATTAAGCCTTGTCCAGTTTATTAGTTGCCAGATCCATTCATTGCAGTTGTGGCTGTTTCTCTGTTGTTTTTCAGTCAGAATGCTGTAACGCTGACCTTTACATCCTGAACTGTTCTCTGCTTGTTTACCTTTTGGGTCCTGTGAAAAGGCGCTGATTACCAGAGTTTGCCACTAATGAGGACATTCAAAAAGAAAAAAAAAAACATATCTATCTATATATATA